AGAGACGGGGTTTTACCATGTTGGCCAGGATGGTTTCAATCTCTTGACCTCGTGATCTGCCCGCCTCAGTCTCCCAAAGTGCTGGAATTTACAGGCGTGAGCCACCGTGCTTGGCCCTGTGTTACTTTTTTACCTGCGTTTATCACTTTGAAAGGTTAGTTTTGCCATTAAAAAAAAAAAAAGTCTTAGCCTAAAAAAAAAAAAAATGCTTATAATGCTTATCAGAGAAAACAAAAACAAACAGTATTTTTGTAGTCTAAGCAAATAAAGATTTAGGTTTATCTTATAGCAGAAGATGAGTAACATTTTTGAATAGTGGTTTTTATCAGTATATTGGCTATGGTGAAGATAAAAGGTTTTCTTCTTGATATATTTCAGTCACCTAGGAAATTCACTTCGGTAGAACAATTCTTTTCTTGACAGAGACATTCTTTTTACTTTGTTTGCTTGTGAGGTCATGTGTCAAGTATTCCTGTTCTTTGAAAGACGGCTCAGTTAACAATATTGTGCCTTTGTGTAAAAGATGACCACAACCAGCAAACTAGACAATGCAGCCCGGGACAGCAGGCTTCACTTGTGTTAATAATGAAAAACGTTTTTGCATTCAGAGCCAAGAGCTGTGAGTTGAGCCTGTTTGGCTGGATACAGACTTGTGATGGAAACTCTTAAGCCCTTGTGATCACACAGAGAGATACTATCAACACATCTACAGTGCCTCTTCACTCACTGTTATGTTTCCTATGTGAATCATCCACAAAGGGCCGTTCTGACCCCATCTCAATCAAGAAGCCTGAAATGTTTCAGACGCTGCCATGCCGGATTACGTCTATTACCAGTCTTACTGATCCAACAGAATGTCAAACACATTGTATAGATTACCTGTCAGAATCAATTTGGGCCAAAAACCTCATTAGTGTGAGGCTTAGCGCTTTCTGGAATTATATCCCATTCTGTGTGTCTTCACTTTCAATAAGTGTTGTTGCCACAGATGTAAACACAAAAGCACATCTCCATTAAGCATCTTGTCTCTGGAATTCATATACTAATATCAAGCAGATAAAAGAATGTTGATGCTCAAATCTAAAGAGCAGAAACAGCAACATTTAGAGTCTTAGCTGCTCCCCGGCACAGGCACCCAAACTGTACCGGGAAAGTGGCTTCTCTTGGGAAGCGGTTTAACATGTCCCTTGGAATCCTGTCTGATGGCTTCAAGATCTTCACAGAAAGTCTTCCTTCTTAAAGAATGGCCTGAAGTCTTCTCTCTTCAACATCCACTTCTTCTAATCCCTGTTTGAAGGTCCCCAACTACCTCAGACTGAGTAGTTTGAAAATTTAACTCATGAACAACACTCCCTTAACCTGTTCCTCTTCCACTGTTCCAACAGAACAAGTCAAACCCTGATCTACTCCAGAAATCTTTCTAGAGACCTAGGGATCATTCCATTGTATCCTCTCCCTTCTCCTCCCCCAACCCCATATCTAATCCATTAAAGTCCCATCTGCTGAAATTTGTCATGAATTCACTCACTTCTCGATATTCACTGCCACCATATTGGTCTTAAAGACTTCATATTCTTCCTGCTTGGATTATTGCACGCTTTCTGAATTTGTCTCCACACCACTGCTCCCCCTTTCCCCTCCACATGTCCATTCTCTACCTGTAGCCAGAGTGGCTTTATAAAAAAATCTAGCCTAATCTTAACATTCTCTTGCTTAAAACTCTCCCACTGCCCTTTGGATAAAGCACAAAATCTCTAGGCCTCCTGGGCTCATATCATCTCACCTTCCCCAGGTCTCTAACATTTTGCACCAATATCCTAACTTACTACTTGTTCTTATAGGTTCTAGAAGGTAGCAGAGCCCTTCCCACCTTCAGACCTTTGCCAACACTGTGCCCTCTGCCTATAACGTTGCCTTCCCGCTTCTGTCTCGCCAGTGCTTTCAGCCTTCAGGTTATTCTTCAGCCTGAACTTCTCCGATGCTTCCTGTGCCTGCCAGCAAGGTCATTTCCCCCATCACAGACCCTTATCATACCCTTTACCTTCTTCATAACATTTGCCACAGTTGTAATCTGTCAGGTATTTCCCTCCACTAGACTTTAGTTCTCTACAAGCAGGATCTGTACAATTTGTATACCACTGTCCTTGGAGCCTGACAGCAGGAAGCCCAGATATTGTAGGTGCTCCTGTGTTAAACAAATAAAGGAAATCTGTCTTCCAAGCCTGATGATTAGAGTTACTTTAGTATTTTGTTTCATATACCACAAAGAAAGCTAAACCAGAAATGAAATTCTTTGTCCTGAGTCACACACAGCAAGCCAGGACTTGCAGGGCTAGAACCCACCCTGGACTCTTGTTACCGTGTCCTGGGCATGTGGTTCACATCGCAACTTTTTGGGACTTAGAAATAAAGTCCACTTGGAAGGTGCTAGAATGTGAGTGCATACCTTGCTCTAGCCTTCCTTTGTCCAGGACTTAAGACACCTACAGTTTAGGTCAGTTTCCTTTTCCTTGATGAAGCCTTCCTTTAGTCAGTGAGTGGTGTTAATTTGTTTGGGTATGGTCTTCCTCATCAGCAGTTGGATGACTATTGCTGGGGTAAATGCACAACGTGTGGTAAAATACTGAGTGTCTACATCTGGACTGGGCTGTTGCTCATTCTCTCTTCCGAAAGCTGTCTCAGACCACATGTTACTGGCCATCTGTGAGAACAGCAGGGAATGCCCAGAGGTTCGTCCCTTGAAAGCAGATCAGCTCCAGGGACCACCCCCAAGTGCACCTGCAGTCTTGTTTCCTTGGCACGTATCAGCCTGGGAGCAAATTCCAGCCTTGGATGTTGTTTTTCATCAAGTGGTGTTTTAAAACCCCTGATTAGTGCTAATATTTAAAATCAAGATTATTATGTACAAGCTTGAGTTTCTGTGTTCTCCTGGGGTGGAGGAGACCTGGCAAAACCAGCCCACAGCTATCAGCTAGGGCTGAATTTTAAGAGAACCCCCTAAAACAAGACATTATTGATCCCTGCCTGGACTGCCATGGTTACCTTCCTGGCATTTGTAGGCACATGAGTTTGCAAACCCTGTAATATTTTTAAGTCACGGCAGGGGAAGGTGGGGGTATATGCATGAAAGTTGTAATTGACTTAGCTGGGCATGGTTCTGCACGCCTGTAATCCCAGCTACTCGGGAGGCTAAGGAAGGAGACCCCCTTGAACCCGGGAGGTAGAGGTTGCAGTGAGCCGAGATCGTACCACTGCACTCCAGCCTGGGTGACGGAAGCAAGACTCCATCTCAAATACATCAATAAATAAATAAGTTGTAATTGACATTCTGTATAATTTTTTTTTCTTTGTCCCTACTTCCTTCTTTTTCTTTATCTTCTACTTTCCCTTCCTCTCTCCACTGCTTCTACCACTTTACAGGTTCTGGGGCTGCTGGTATGGACGCTTATCGCTGGAACTGAGTACTTCCGGGTCCCCGCATTTGGCTGGGTCATGTTTGTAGCTGTATTTTACTGGGTCCTCACCGTCTTCTTCCTCATTGTCTACATAACAATGACCTACACCAGGATTCCCCAGGTGCCCTGGACAACAGTGGTAAGGAAGCCATGGGTGGTGGTCTTGTCCAGTGCCTGCTCGGTAGGATGGCATTAGTCCTCCACTAGTCAATCCAAGACTGTCTCTCTGCCCAAAAAAGGTGGGCCATACCATGGAGAACCCAACACAGCAGACAATTTCAACATCCTCTAAGTGCCTCTCAAGTGGCTTACAGCTGGGTGTGAAACTGGGCACATCAGAAGGTCCAGAAATTCCTTTCAGGCAGAATTGCAAACCAATTCTCAGAAGACTGAATCAAGAAAAGCCAGGTTCTCTCATGTAGACTCTCATTTTATTATTTCCCTGTGAACAATGTCACCTGGAAATAAATATGTCAGGGCGCCAACCTCTGCAGGTCATGCTTCCTACAAACCTCTCCTGGGGCTGTGGCCTTAACCCTTTGTACATCACAGCTCTTTGATGCTGGAGCACATTGTGTATGGAGTTAGCATGCAAATGAAAATTGAAATTAGAACACATAGGTGTTCTTCTATATTTGACAAAGAGAATTGTCAGGAATGACTGGATTCTCATCCTGGCTCTGGCACCATGCTGGATGCAGGATGGTGAACATGCGGTCCAGGGGAAATAAGTAAGAAAATGAGAAGATACGAAACCCTGTGGCACACACTGCAGTGGGGCTGTGTAGAAAGTGTGATGGAGGCTGCCACCTCAGCTTAGGATGACTGGGAACTCTTCAGAGAGGAAGGGACATTTAGCTTCATCCTGGAGATCGAACACACACATCCTAAGTGGATTCACAGAGATGGAAGGTGGGTTCCCCTTGCCTTAAGAGCATTGACAATCTGGTTGGGAAATTCAAAGTAGCTAAATGATTTACAAAAGAAATTCCAGTGGTACCACATGTGTTTATGTATAAAACAGAGCTCTCCAGTGATACTATTTTTTGTCTGTTTTCAACCAATATGTGAGAAAAAATATTTAATTTCAAATAACTGACTTATGAACCAAATTTGAAATATAGTCTATTTGTAGTTATAAACTAAGTTAAGTTGGCAGACTTTCAGACAACACTATCATTGTTCAGAATGCACCTGGCTTTGTTCTTTCTGTGTTGCTAAGTCCCCCAGGAAAACAAGTCTTATTTTATTTCACAAAGCAGTTTGACTGACTCTTGACCATTTCCCCAAATCCAAAAGTAAGGACTCTTTATTAAGGTTTTCAAGAAAGCGTTGCAAGTTTGAAAAGTAATTCCAAACAAGGTGCTTAATCACTGTCTAGGGTGGGGGAAGCAGCCTTGTCAGAACTGGTGTTTTGCTGCCTCAGGTGGGCATCCGGAGGGAAAGACTCGTTTAGATGCTGGATTCAAAAACAGTTAGCACTGTGAAGTAATAGTAACTACAGAAGCACAGGATGAGGGAATAATCAAAGTTGGTTGGAATTTAAGGAATGCCATTTTGGAGAAAGTTGTGTTCTAGGGTAGGTCTTGAAGAAAGTGCCTGTGAACTTGAAAGAAGAGGAACTTGGACAGTGTAGTAGGGGAGCAAATTGTTGGGATGGAGGAATGGACAGTACCCTTGTTTCCCCTTTTGCCTGAGTCTCAATTTCTAGTATGTTATCTAGATCAGCAGTTGGCATGCTGTCTTTGTAAAGGACCGGATAGTAAGTATTGTAGTCGTCTTGGGCTATACTCCCATGGCCCAGCCACTCAACTCTGCCTGCAGCATTGAGAGAAGCCATAGGCAATTTGTAAATGAATGAGCATGGCTGTGTTCAGGTAAAACTTTATTTATAAAAACTGATGGTGGCTGGGCACAGTAGCTCACACCTGTAATCTTAGCATTTTGGGTAGACACCTGAGGTCAGGGGTTTGAGACCAGCCTGGCCAACGTGGCAAAATCCTGTCTCTACCATAAATACAAAAATTATCCTGGTGTGGTGACGCATACCTGTAATCCCAGCTACTCGGGAGGGTGAGGCAGGAGAATCTCTTGAACCCAGGAGGCGGAGGTTG